CCTTGGAAATGCCTGAGAATTAATTCAGAAAAATGACTATAAAATGTTTCAAAACACTTTACAATGGAGTTGAGAAAAATAAGGAAGAAGTCAGGAAAGCGCTACAGGAACAACCAAATAAGATAGATACAGCATTGGAAACAATTCAAAACCTAAAGAGGTCCAAACGATCAATAATAGAGTATCAGAAATAGACAATAAACCGAAAGGGCAAAGGAGAATAGAAGACATGGAAGGCAGAACCACTGATTGATAATTAAAGTTTAAATTTTTAGAATACACATTGAAACTTGTTTGGAAATTTTTGGTGTTAGAGTTGGATTACAACTTGGATTCTTAGAATTCCAATAAAATTTATAGAGAATTTTTTTCTTTTGGATCTACACAGAAAACTCTGTGCAAATCAAGCTTGGTTGTCTTGTAAATATGTTCGGTAGACATGGCTTCTTAGTTATACTTATTGTGAAGGGCCAGAAAATAAATATTTTAGGCTCTGTGGGTCACATGATCTGTCACATAAACAATTCTTTAAAACTGTAAAAACAAAATCCGCAACACTTTGCCTGCCATATAAACACAGGCTTCAACGGGATCTGACCTACAAGCTCGTCTGCGTAACTCTGGTTTACAAAACTGAGTTTGAGAGCTCCTAAGACTATGTCTTTTCTTCTGATTCTAGCTGGGATAGGCTTCAAGGCACAGCATGCACTTAGTATTTGAATGTGTAATAAAAGCACACCAGTTATTACAAAATCGCTTAGTTCTTGAGTTAGCAAACAGTAAAGGAAAACACTATAAAACTTTGTGGTCACACATTGTTTGCTATCAAGCAAATGCACTGCCTTGCTTGATTTTCTAATCATATTAGCCAAGTCAGGTCTTGTTCAAGAGCTGGCCCTTGGGAGACTCAGAAAGGCAGCAGCTGGCAGCGATGGTTCCTGCAGAGGTGGAACTGTAGCCTTGCAGGCAGGAGTCCTGGGTTCCATACACAGCCAATGCTCTTCAACGAGAGCCATCTGTGGAGGCCTGGGTGTTGCTATGATGCTGAGCAGGCTTCAGCAGAGCCTCCAGACTCAGAATTCTGGTAATCTTTACTGAAAAATGAAAATTCCCTGTATCACAGTCATCTGATCTGACTGTGCATCGAGTCCCCATGAGTTGGGGGAGCCACTTCCAGGGCCACCAACAACGGAAGGCAGAGATGGTGCTTTATTTAAACAGGAGAGATGATTTATGGTTAATGCAGCTATAGTGACAATTAAAAAGAAAATCAGACAAGCTAGAACAAAACATTTTATTATTAAAATAAAAACTTTTGTATAAAAGCATTACAGACCAAAAGCTCTATTTACATTTATTAATTCAAAGTCCAGCTGTGCATCAAACACTGAACAGATGCACCAAGAAAGTGGACACAAGCATTTAAATCCAAGCTTTCCCAAATGATTTGATGAATGCAAAACATAAAACCCACAAAGAACCACAAAAAATACTGCCTACAAGCTACACTAGCAGTTGTCACATGCGCAAACTGTTGAAGTTACCTCTCTCCAGAAAAGCACTTCTCATTGCTATAAAAGCGCTTAAAATCTGAACATGAACATTATGCCCTGCTTATCATTTCTTCAAAAAAGCAAAAATGGCAAAGCAATATAGCCTAGTATTAGCCTCTGAGTTTTCCATGCAAAATGGTGCAAGATGTAAATTGAAACACCTTACACAGCAACTGTAATAAACTTGGCAAACTAAAATTATATTAAAGTCTTATACCAAGAATTTCAAATGCGTTTAACTCTGGAAGTCTCACCACTAATTTCCATGGCTGTGTTTCCTATGATGATTTTAAGTCGATCGCTGCTTACAAACCTTTGGATTGTGATGACTGTGTAAACCAGATTCACCACTTAACCTTACAATGGAAGAAATCAGCACCAACTAAGTGTCAACTGTGGCAGCTTATTATATAAGAACTGGTATAAAAAGCACAAGACAGAGAAGCCTCTGAAGTAATGCGCTTTCATTCTTACACATGGTTTTATGGCCTTTGTGACTTGACTCTGTTAAAAATATCAACAAGTATGAACACAAGGCCACACATGTAGTTTTCATGTAAAGTGTGAGAGGGCTGTTCTATAGACTTCAACAGATTTAGTACTGCTACTTTGTTCTAAGTGCTTGGTTTCATGAGTGGACAGCAGGACCATTTCAACACCAATTACACTGCTACAGAAGCAGCCTGTCATCTTTCTCTCACAGGACAAGTTGGTGGGTTCAAACTGCTGACAGCTCGATTAGCAGCCAAGTATTTAACCACTGTGCCACTAAGGTTCCCAAATCAAACATCCTCTCATATAATGACAACTTTAAAAGAGTTCAGAAAATAAGTGGTGAAGAGGACCATTGGCAAAGGTCTGAGCAGGAACGTAACTGCCAGTTACCTTTTGAAGAATGGCAAAAGGTAACTGGCAGTATTCTTCTTTGATGGTTCTAAAATGCCTGTATGGATGATGAGATCAACTTGATTTGAGTTTGCTGTACAGCAGAATGACCATCAAAATTCTGAACTGAGGTTTCTAGCAATTGACAACAGCGAGAAGTTTAACAGGGAGATGCGAGAAGTTATCAGGTAAGTAGTGAATCTTCTGGCTGTTACGCCTGCATTTCAAATTCCTGTTTCAGACTATGGAAGAGAAAAGGGAGGATGTTAGGGTATAGTCTTCAACCTGAGAATTCTCTTCTAAAAGCCTAATTCACTTTAAAAAAAAAAAAAAAAAAATGTTCTTATTGAGTTATATAACATAATTATGGCCAAGTGCATAAATCTCAAATGTGTACTTCTGTGTGCATCCTGGGGTAACCACCACCTAGGCTCCGACCGTGCTGCGTCCCAGACAATATTCTCCCTTCCCTGACCTAGAGATAACCACTATTCTGACTCCTACCATCTTTATTAAGATACTTGAGTGAAAGCAAGATTCAGACATTGACAAGAGAAAAAAGCAACCACATTACCTTTTCAAGTAAGCATGCACATTTCCAAAGCCGTGGTATTTGGCCAAGTACACCAGGACCCCCGTTGCACAACGTCCATCACGCTGCCTACAGAAGCTGCAGTTACAGATCCCACGGCAAGGTGGGCAATGCCAGTTCTGAAGGAGAATTGCAGAAGACACAGGTAAGCTACGTATACTACTAACAAGCTGCTGCTGACACTCCTTGGGAATGAATGACCAAATACTTCTGGGGATCAGTTTTCTTGGTATGAAGGTTTTGTGGGACAGACAATGCAGTTAATGGACCTTTCTACAAAGGCTTAATTGAATCCAATGATCTCTCCTTAAATGTACTTCTCCATAAAAGAGCATCCTGTCACCACATCCCACTTTAGAGATGGTCCAATTGCAGGAATCTGAGAATGACTTGAAGCACAAGGCAAGAACGTCTGACCTCATCAGCCAATGTGCACCTGTTTCTTCCTGGGCAAGTCAACAGCAAAAGAGCAGTCATACACTTAAGTGGGAAGGAATTGTCTTATTCCTAAATGAACACAGTTACGACCAAATCAGCATTCTCAGTATCTCCTTGGGAAAAAATTGTTTAAAGAATAGGAAATTCAAATGTAATGCAAATTGTGAGGATGGCACAGGTCCAGGTAATGCTGTGTTGTGCATAGGGCCACTGAGTCAGAGCCAACAGCACCTAACAACAAGCCACATGACCATCATTTGTATCTGCCCCACTTTGGGGGGCTAGAGGAACCCTTCAATAAATAAAGAGTTTACATTAAGAGAAACAAATAAGCTACTTAGGATAGATTAGAAACAGAATCCTCCTTTGGATTTATAACACTTAGCAGTACCTTGTCCACAATAAGGCTTCCAGCGTCATAGTTTGGGGCTTACAAAGATCCATGACAAAAATCGCCCATTTTAAGCATGAAAGTGGTCACTGTAGACTGAGTCACAGGCAGCTTTTCAATTTTCCTCAAGTTGAGCACATAACACTCTCTTAACCAGAACTAGATGGTGTCTGGCCACCACTACCAACTGCTCTGAAAGGGATTACACTAGAAGGTCCCGGATGTTGTTGTTGTTAAGTGCCGTCGAGTCGGTTTCGACCCATAGCGACCCTGAACAGGGTTTCCGAGGCTGTAAATCTTTACGGGAGCAGATCGCCTCATCTTTCTCCCACAGAGCAGCTGGTAGTTTCGAACTGCAGACCTTGCGGTTCGCAGCCCGATTCGTAACCAATACAGAAGGTCCCGGATAGAGTAAGAGAAAATGTGGAACAAAATACAAAATTATATAAAGAAAAATGACTGGCATATTGGTCAGAAAGAGACTGGAGGAACCCAAGACTAGGGCCCTCGACCAGCCTCGTGGCCCAATCTTCAGCAAAGCAGTAGACAGGTATACAGGGGGACAACAACTAGTCAGGTATGCTCACCATGGAATGGTCAACCATTCAAGATCAAAATGGCAACACTGACTTAAGTACAAAGTTGAGAAGGGATGGGAAGGAGGATGGAATGGAAACAGGAACCACAGGAAGGAAGTGAGATAACTGCTATTGTGTGGAGGGGACTATAATTGTTGAGATTTAACAAAGCGTATGATTGTTGAATGTGAAACGATCTTGTCTGTAAACAATAAAAGTAAAAATAGTATCCTAAGATACAAGAACTATAGCAAGTATATGTTCCATTAAAAACATAAATTTTAAAGAAACCATCTACTTTATAGATCCAAAGCATTCAGCATTAGAGATATTTCAGAAGTCAAAAACTGAAGCAGTTAAGTGTAAATGTAATTGTAGTATCATCAGTTAAATACACCAGAATAAAGCCAGTGGATTTAAAAAAGAAGGAGAACCCGGGCTGCCCACAGTGCCATCACCGACCACTGCCTTCTTTCTGACCCAACCAGTTCATGGCTGACCATGAAGCCCCTGGTTCATCGAACCAGTCTCCCTCCAAGGCACCTACGGGATCCAGGAGGGCATCCTTGACCTCTTCCCCGTAGCGGTTCCGAAGGCAGGGACCACAGAACTGGCCTCGAACACCCCAACACTCTGGGTTTCTGCAATTTGTTTTGGTGTCAATTGTCTTCTGGCGACACTGATGACAGGTAGATCCCTAGAAATAATAAACAAATGTGTGTGTGTCGGGGGGAAATGGCACATTCAAAGAAAGCCCTTTGTAACAGAGTCTGAGATGTTTGCCTTTGAATTGTATTTCACATCTACATGCAGAGGTATATATACTTTAGTGTAACAAGTCCCTTAAGCATGGCAGTACTATTCAGTTCAGAGACTCAAGTTAATACGATCAAATCTTTGTCTTCAATAAAAGACCTTTTTATTTTCCAATGCAACAATTCACCCGCTCAAATATATCCTTATTACCTTTAGAATGTTGCCATATTCTTAGCACCTAGCTAAGCAGCACATAAGTAATGAGTATAGGAGGTCTGGTGTGGCGCTGTGGGCTAATGCACCAGACTGCGAAGCCACTTGAACTGCAAGATCGGCGGTTCAAGCTCACCAACTGCTCCTCGGACACCCTATACAGGGTTGCTATGGGTCAGAATCGACTCAACGGCACTTAACAATATGTTGACTGAACCAATTTCGAAATCAAGTAAGAAAAGATTAACGTTACTGCAGATTCATTAAGCCAGTAACTTGAGTGAAAAGAGCTAAATCCCCAGGATACAATAAAGCTCTCTTTCTTTGAATAAGAAGAAATGTGTAGGCACACAACTCATATGCTAAGACCTTTACAACATTAGCAAAACTCTAGGGAACAGAAAAGCTCTCCCCCTTGCCTCACTGTTGTTTCTATTTAGAGGTTCCTACCAATGAGCGGTTATAGATCTTCTCTCGGGAGTTGCTGCAGATGTTCTCCAGCTCGTCCTCTGTAATTTCTTCCACTGGGCGGATTACATGAGGAAGGGTCATGGGCCCTGGGCGACGGTTTCTGGGCATGTCATCTTCCTGCATAACAAAATGCATGTTCTTAGTGGCTCTCCCCACCTTTAACCATCATATACCTAAATTTGTTATTTCTTCACAGAGAATTCAATGGGATAATCTTTCAGCACTTCTGGAAAGGGGGCAAACCCTAAGTTTATTATAAGGCTCACTGGAAACCATCATGGAAACAATTCTTACAATGAAGAAAAGTTTGATTATCTCACCTGGTAACAAAATCAAAGAACTTTATAGGTGGCAGACAACTGTGAACAATTAAAGAACCATGTGTGACAGGTTAGTGTTACTTCATACTGAGGCTGTGTGTGTATGTATGTGTGTGTTGTGTGTCAGATACTGTCTGGCCTACAGAAGACAAAAATGTGGAAAACTCACGTTCATGTAGTCATCCATGATCTTCCTCTTTCTCACCAACAAGTACTTGTCATCCTCCTCCTCCTCTTCCTCTTCCTCCATGGGCAGAGCACCGGGGAACCCCAGAACCCGGGACCTAGACCTAGTCAGAGGGCGAGCTCTCCGTTCAGGGTTTTTTCTGGAAGCAACACCTGGGAACGTACGTCTTCGGGGTGTCTTTGATTGCTGAACAAGACAGACACCATGGAACCCATTAATTCCAGAGTGGAGAGAAGGGACACGTCTGAAAATCCACACCTTCTAAGAACATTTTAAGTAAAGAAAAGCTGCATTTCCCATTTTTCTGTATCCTTTCCATAAAGCATGAAACATGAGAGCCCAGAATGGCTCCAGCCAATGTAAAGTTGTTTGGTAACATTGAGTTTCTGGTAGACTCTATTTATTCCTTTGCTTTATAAAGATACAGGAACTGATCTTTCCTCCAGAACTCCTTTCCTAGGACATCTCTTGAGCTTTGAAACATTCTTACTCTTCCTCTATTGCAAAACAGACACACATGAGGCTGCTTCAAAAAGGGCGTGCAAAAATTCCATTTTCTTTCAATGCCATTTTCCCATGTATTTTTTATACCCTTCTCAAGTATGATTTTCCTTCGTTCCTAAGGAAGTACTTTCCTTTGTACTATAGTTTTTGTTGTTGTTAAGTGTTGTTGAGTTGGTTCCAACTCACAGCAACACTGTATAAGGTTTTCAACGAGTGGCAGGTGAGTCTCAAGTGCCAACGTTGCGGTTCAAACCAAGAAGGAAGTGGTTGACTTTGAACTGCCAACTATATGGTTTAAACTGACCTTGCAGTCCTGCACTTATCCTACAGTGTCATACCAGTGTCTCAGAAAACAAAAGGACAACACAGGAGATCAGGCAAAGAGTTGGCTAAGAAAATTCTTTTTCCCTTTTCTTTCCTCATTCTCAGATTTAAAAACAAACCACCATGTATTGCTCATGTAACATGTAAGAAGAATGTGCGTGGATATAGAAAAACAAAAAAAAATTCCCAATCCTTAAAGGTCTTAATGTAGCTGAGGAGAGAACTAACTAATCTAAAGTGGGTTAAATGCCATGGGAACATAGCAGAGAGAGGTCACAACTGCCAAAGATGCTAAAAAAAAGCTCCTCAAAATCCATTAGATTTCCTTTTTTCTCTTATTCTGACCAGATGACACAAATTATGAAAACTAGATTTTAAAACGCTCACCATAGTTGTTCAAACACAACTAGACAAATGACGTTTTGTACTTACTGAACTGGGAACTGGGAGGGAACGTCTTCCAGGGAATGAGCCAGGGAAGGATTGTAATTCAGACATTAGTTTTGCAAGCTAAAAAGGGTGGAAATAAAAAAGAGAAGTATTGGTTTAGAATAACTGCTGAAAATGAGCAACTTCCAAAAATTACGAAAGCACATGTCCTGATTTATATTTAATAACAAATCGGCATAGTCCAATAGTATCTCATTTCAGCTAAGAACGTACCAAAAATTGGAGAGTAATACCCACTTGACCCAGCCTCGATGGTTTGATAATCAGAACTTGACTAGAGGAAGATTAAAAAAAAAAAGAACAAAACATTTTTGATAAAGGAAAGGTGGGCAAATTGCCACAATTTGATGAACCTGACCTATACTCATCGAGGTAATAACTCTACATATCAACAGAGAGGGAAGGAGTCTTCACATCAAGTATCAATGTTATCCCCTCTGTACACAGGGACGGGCAACTTAGACACGTGGCTACTTAAAATGAGGTGGCAATAAAGGCACAAAGTGACTGGCTTATAAGGTTCCAAGGGGGAGTCTAGTTTAATAGTGTGTGGGGGACGAAAGAGGAGCCAGTGAATAGTTTTCATCTTGTCTAGATGAGTCTGGTTAAAAGAGACGGGGATAAGATTGTTATGAGCAGTTGAGGACTCTAGATTCATGGGAAGAGAGGGACCGAGAGCTGGTAGTCAGGAGGCAGACTTGCAGAATGCGCACTTTGGTGTGGTATATTATTATATATGCCTGTGTTTTAAAAAAAGGAGCTAAAGTGAATGGAGCGAAATACTGTTAACTGATGGTACACAGAGGGAATTATAATCATTGTAATGAAACAAGGTGTATGACTTGTTGAATGTAAAACTGATGATCTACCCTGTAAACTTTCACTCAATCCACAATAAAAACCTTAAAAAAAAAATTTAATAAAATTGGAGAGTAAAGATAGGAAAGTTCTTTTAAGGAAAGAAATGCATTTTATAGCACACACGTGTAAGTAACATGTCCCTTAGAGAAAAGCTGGTAAGAGTAATTCTGACAAAGTCAGATACCTACCATGGCTTTGTTCTGCTTTATATTTAAAGCCCTTTTCTCCAGAAAATCCATGCCTTTTTCCTCTTCTGAATCAGAGCTGGCATCATTCACAGAATTCTCTGAGGACTGGGGAGGAATGGTCTTTTTCTTGGCCGCTGTCCTGGTATTTCGTGTTGGAAACGTCATTGCCACGCGCAGGGACCCCGAATGCCTGCTCTGACTGCGGGTTCTACAGCCCTCCTGGTCAGCCTGGGGTCTCTGGTTAATCACAACAACCGAGCAGTTATGACTTGTTGAGTGTCAGGCAGGACATATCAGTACAGCTACAAAGTCCCTTCTGAGCAAAGGAGACTTGCATCAAATAAATCTCAACTGAACACAGATGGCTCTGGGTAACAAAATTGGGACCTGTGTATTCAATCCAACCTCCCTGAGTTATGTTATACTCTGCATACTATTATGAGCTATCCTTACACCCCCTAGTTCTGAGCAATTTTTTTAAATGCGAAAAATCTCTGTTCCCCTTAAGTTCTTAGAACACATCTTTATGCAATTTAAAAGAGCTTCTCCAGGAACAAATGCATGCTCTCCCATGAACCTGGCATCAACATCTCAATTCTCCAATCTACCTTTGGAGCTTGTTGTTAATCCATCTTTGGAAAGCTTAAAATAAAAAATCCAAAAGTAAGATGAGGGTGCTTTAAAAAGTTCGTGGAAAATGGTATTGAAAGATTATGAAATTTTCTACCAACTTTCTGAAATCCTCCCGCATATAGATTTCCATCATTAAAAACTGTGTTAAAACTAGCCAACAGGGAAACATGAGCTCAAAACCACACTGCTATACCACTTCATACCCACTGAACTCACACTGATTGTCAGGAATCAGTCTGACTCATAGCATGCCTAGAGAACAAGGCCCTGGGCTACAATCTTTATAGAAGCAAATCGCTACATCTTTCTTCTGGGGGTGGCTGGTGAGCTCAAACTAACTACCTTTAAGTTGGCAGTTGAGTGCTTAAACCACTTTGCCACTAGGATTCCCTTTCATACCTACTAGAATAGCTATCACCCAAGAGAAAAAAAAAAAAAAAGTCCTGGTATGGTGCTGTAGAATAAGCACAAGACTGCTTACCACAAGGTCAACAGTTCAAGCCCACCAGTCGCTCCTCATACAACAGGGTTGCTATGAGTTGGAACTGACTAGATAACAGCAGAATAGCTATCATCAAAAAAGAAAAAAAAAAACAATCTCAAAACAATAAAAGTGTTGGTGAGAATGTGGAAAACTGGAGCCCTCATATGCATTCCCTGCTGGTTGTTGGTGTTAAATGTCATCCACTTGGTTCGTAGTCCTATGTAGGAATGTAAAATGGCGAAGTCACGTTGGAAAAGAATGAGTAACTATTAATAAGTATGGCAGAACACAGTGGCACCATAGGATGAGCACTGCACTGTGAACCACAAGGTTAGCGGTTTGAGCCTCAAGATCAGTTGTCTTTCAGGGAGAAAGATGAGGCTTTCTGCTCCCGCAAAGATTTACAAACTTCGCGAAGAGTCAGAACCAGCTTGATGGCACTTAACAACAACAATGAATAAGTATGAGGTTTCTTTTTGGGGTAATGAAAATATTCTAAAATTGATTGTGGTGATGGTTGAAAAGGCAACAAAAACACTAAAAAATTTCTTAAATCCCTACAACAGTCTATGGCTTGAAACTATATAATGACAAAAAGAATTACTGACTTAAAACTTTTAATCAACTGGCATTTTATTAATCACAAGGGTACCTATAAATAATTGATCTACTGCCTAGAAATGATTCATGCTACATACAACATTTGGGTGCCATTCAGATTAGTAGACAAGCTTCAGCATCTCTCCAGCCAGCACTATCTCACTAGAGGAAGCATGACATGACAGGGGCACTTAGTGGTGAACACCCCTCGGCCAGGTACTGTCACACACAAGTGTGGTTAGGCCACACAGACTTGAAGAGCATGCACCCAGATGTAAATCAATGCACTGTTTCCTCTGTTGAGAAAGTGTTGCATAAAAAGCAAATGTCCGTTGAAGAAGCAGTGTGCTTAGGAAAGGTAGGACTGAGCAGGACAACAGAGCTTTTTAAAGCAACAGCACAGGAAAAGCCAACCAAGGAGTAAAAGGGGGACACAGGAGAGGCCCAGATTGTCACTGTCCACACTCAGACTCCTGCACAGGTGGTTCATAATGCAGGTAGAGAGCCACTAATAGAATCAACATTGGGTACCTGATGTTCAATGGAATGTAGCTTCTCTTTAGGGCATGTGTGCTTCCTCTAGTCTGTGGTAATGGAAGTCTGGAAGTTGGTCAACTCTATTTTGCCAGCTTCCAAGATTTCCAAAGCCTATGAAAAACCCAAGATTTACAAGTAGGACTAGTTCAGTAAAAACTACTTTAAGGCATAAAGAAAACACTTGTAGTATTCAAAAAAAATTTTAAAGGAAAACAAAATCTTCTGGCAAGACTAAAATAAAAAACAAAACAAAATAAAAAAAATTTAAGCAAATAATCTATCATGCCTCTAAATACACATTAAGTTATTGATACTGGTGAAATTCTCAAACTCACCATTCCATCTTGTATTTCACTCTCTGAGAAACCAAAAAAGGATTCATCGTCAGAGTCGGCATGAAAAATACTGGCCAGTTCTTTACTGACATCTGGCCTTGGTTTGGGTTTCTGTAAAAATCCACAATGGTCTAATACATCTTGCACCTCACTTTCTGAAAAGCCGCAGAAAGATTCATTATCAGAGTCCTCATAAAAAACATTTGCCAGTTCTTCACTGATATCTGACCTGAATTTAGGTTTCTGTAAAATAAATAAATGTGGTTGTGTTTTTTTTTTTCTTTTTCAAGAACCAATTTTCCATAAACCGTTCAGAGAGCAAATCACATTTACAAGTGCACTACAAGAGAATAGCTTTTGTTACAAAGAAAAATGGTTCAGGGGTTTACAAATGATTTCTGAGTTGTTATGGCAAATCATCAGGCATGTTAGGTTAGGCGACATTTCAAAAGGATAGAATAAGTAGCTATTCTACCTCCAACAATTACTACCTAGAACCACAGCAAAAAGTGAAATGAAATTACAGTGCATACTGTATTTTCATAACGGGTGTATAGAAATGTAGGCGAAAAGCAAGCGGTTTTAATCACGCACAAAGCATTTGGGGCATTTTGAGCACTGCAGACTCAATTCTGTTTATTCTCAGGCAGCACTTACTGTGTTTGCAAAATTATCAGAAGCAAAGCTGTCACAACTGTCATCAGAGGATGACGTGGTTTCCATGGAAATCAACTTCATATATCTGAATTTCTTGAAGTTTTGTACTCTGAGATTCTTGTGCTGCAAATAGAAATGGCAGTACTATTAAGTGGGATGTTTACAGTAGTATCTAAATAAAGACATTGTTTTTGAGTTTGGTAGGTTCTAACAACAAGAGTCCCAGGTTAATGCGCCAGACTGCAAAGCCGTTTGAACTGCAAGGTCGGTAGTTCAAGCTCACCAGTTGCTCTTCGGAAACCCTATACAGGGTCGCTATGGGTTGGAACTGACTTGACGGCACTTAACAACAAAAGCAGACAGATATGTCTGTTTTTTATACCTTATGTGTACAAAGGATGTGCAATTGCTTTAAAAAAAAAATTTCATTGTATGTAAATTGAAGGGGAAATTCATTTGCTCTATAAACTTTCAACCAAATCACAGTAAAATATTCTAAAGAACAAAAACAAATGGGTTCATAAAGTAAATATTTCCGTAATGAAAGTTATCCAGGATAAATTATTAGATAAGAAGGCAACAACAGTTATAAATCACTGCGTGTGTTTTGATTTAATAAAAATTATGTGTTGAAACAACAACAAAAAACCTCTACCAGGTCAAATCTTAAGAAGGGACCCCAACCCTTGGCAGGAAAATTTTAGTATTTATCTATTCAAACATCAGTAGAGCTATGCCCTTTACCCATCCCACCTTCACAGCTTTTAAGTTCTTAGCATTATTATACTGAGCTTCCAGTGGTGGTTAATGCTGGCTCCTAAAATACACCCTCTTTTCTTATTTAAAAAAAAAAAAATTAGCTGTACTAAAAGGAAATTTTGAAGTACTAAATCAATGGTAAAATGATTTTTCTACTTCAGCCCAAATCAAGCTAATGAGGTCTTTTTATATAAGCTTTGGACTATGCACCGTGATGCCAATTTCTAAACTACTGTGAGGCCAAACTACAAAAATGGGCAGGACCTCTACTTCAAGATGGCAGGCTTCCAGACAGGCACCATTCCAATCAGGATGGGCATAGCGATTTCGGCACAAGTCCTTACAAATCAAATATATACACCAAGGAACAAATGGTATACAGAGCCCTGTTAAAGGTCAAACCACACACTAAACCCAGGAGGAACGCCCAATTCCACTTCGGTGCTCTATTAGCTTGCCCTGACATTCAGCTGTCTCTACCCTGGCTGTAAATAGCTAAGCTTTTACAAGTCCTTTCATAGTACAAATCATTTGTAAATATGAAATGTCTAATTTTTCATAAACACTAAACAACTCAACCATGCACTGCTCATCAGGAAATACAAACAGCATCTATCTCGTGTATAAAGAATACGTTTCTGCCATTTCTTATTTAAGATTTCAGTGGAATCCTGGGATGGCACTTGCTGTATGATAAGCACTGAACTACTAACCATGAGGTTGGCAGTTTAAGTCCACCATTTGCTCCTCTGAAACCCTATACAGGGCCACTATGAGTGACTGATTCAATGGCACTGAATTACAACTACAAATGATGCATTGTTCCCATGTTTTTATCTTCTCAAATATGGCCATGGAACCTATCTACACTCATTCCTCCTCCCTTATCAACATGGTTGGATTCCAAACACCAGGTCAATGTTTTGTGAAAATGGGGGACAACTACATCATAACTGTCAAACTACCGAGACTCATGGCTCAGCCAAGTGGGCGTAAAGCCTTAACCGTCACAGCCACTATTTCTGTCACCTCCTACCTCAAGTGTTCATTCCTGCCAAATGGGTATCGTTGATGCTAAATAGTCCAATAGTGTATTTTGACTATGGTCGTAAATGTGAAATGTCAGATACAAGGTAGTGAGGATTCCTGGGGTGGGGCTGTAGGAAAAGCAATGGACTGCTAACCACAAGGTTAGTGGTTCAAACCCACTAGCTGCTGCCTGGAAACCCTACAATGAACGGGGTGCTATGAGTTGGAATCCACTCCATGGCAGTTTAACAACATATTCATCTAGGAATGCGATGGCTCTACAGGACAAGCACTGGTGGTTCGAGTCCACCAGTCACTACTAGGGAGAAAGATGAGGCTATCTCTGCTCCCACAAAGATTTACAGAGTTCTAGTGGTACTGGAAGGAGCTCTGGTCGCATATGCTAACCTTAAGGTCAGCAGTTTGAAACTACCAGCTGTTCTACGGGAGAAAGATGAGGCTTTCTGTTCCCGTAAAGATTTACAGCCTCAGAAACCCTGTACAGGGTCGCTATGAGTCAGAACCAACTCCACGGCACATCACCAGTAGCATTGTGGGTTACGAGTTGGGCTGTTAACCAAAGGGCTGTTGGTTTGAAACCACCAGCTGTTCCACAAAAGAAAGGTAAGGCTTTCTGCTCCCAGAAACCCTATACAGTTTTACACGAAGTTGCTCGGAATCAGAACCGACTGCACTGCACTTAACAACAGCATTGCAGTCTCTTGCAAATACAATTATTTTCATGATGGTTTCTCCACCATCCCATGTTGTTTGTTAATGTGGCGTTGAGTCGGTTCCAACACATAAAAGCCCTGTATAGGGTATATGAGGAGTGGCTGGTGAGGTTTGAATTGCCGATCTTGAGATTCAAACCAACCTTTTGATCCAGTACAGTATCCTGCAGCAAGCACCACACCAGGATGCTCCTGAGTAATGTCCACTCAATCAGTTTTGGAAGTTTTCACATTTTGTTCTGTTACAGACAGAAAACATGATCCTAAGGAGCGCTAGCCAGTAGAGACTTACGTGTATAAGATAAATGTTAACAGAAAAGGGTTCTCAGAAACCCTCATTATGAAGATGAGGAACTGCATGCCTCCAGAGAGGTGAAACAGCCCAATATCACTGGGCTGCTACAACCCAAACTTGAAACCTCTAAAGCAACAGTCCTCCAGATTATTACTGCAGGAATCACCATTTTTCTCGTCAATCGATCTACAAGCAAGCAATCAGAGGCCAAGGGCAGCCTCAAGGGAAGGCAACCTATTGGAAGGCATTAGGAAAACGCTCCAAGAGTCAGTTACCAGGCAAAGGGATCTTTGCAAAAAAAAGTATAGAAAGGAAGGCGGGAAATGAACTTTTCTGGCAGGCAAGTTACAACTAAACAGCATTTGTTATTGTTGTTAGGTGCCATTGAGTCGGTACCGACCCATAGCGACCTTATGCACAGCAGAACAAAACACTGTACGATCCTGGGCCAACCTCACAATTGTTTGCCACGCTTGAGTCCATCAATGCTGCCACTTGGCTAATCCATCTCATTGGGGTCTTCCTCTTTTTATCTGACCCTCCATCTTACCAAACATGCTATCCTTCTTCAGCGACTGGTCCCTCCTGACAATATGTCCCAAGCATGAGAGACAAAGTTTGGCCGTAGGTGTTTTTTGTTGCAGGCACTTTGTTAAGAATGCTTTCAGACTACATGTAATCCCTTGCAACAAAAGCGTTTTTTTTTCATTATCCCCACTTACAAATGAGGACACTGAGGCTCAAGGAGGCGATATGGGATGCTCAAGTCATATGGTGACTTAAATCTGAAGCACCTTGTAAGTGAAACACCTGAACGGCTTGTAAGATACAGGACTTTCTTCACTCTGAAAACCATTGCCTATCTTCAAGGGGAGGTGACCAACACGCCCCCCAAATCCCCCCCGCCCGAAACCTAGCCACCCCCACATGGTACCCTAACCAGAGATTTACTTTAAGCACGCTTAAATACATTTTAAATACGATCTTCTTCCTTTCCACCCAACCCCCACTCCCCTAATCTCCCGCGGGGCCGACCCTCCGTTCCGGTTTCAGTTAGGGCAGAAACTAAACTTATATTCAGGGCATCATGTAGCCACCGCGAATAACAGGGTGGCGGGGGGCGGGAAGGGATCGGAAACCAGCACATAAACGGTCAGCAAATGATGGAAACCACCAGGCGATTCGATTACATTTAATCACTGCCTGGGACGTGAAACGCCTCCTCCCACGTGCACACCCCAAGTTCTAAAGACACAGATTTGCAAGACCTTTAAATTCCAAACGCGCCCAAGAACTACTGACTGCGCGGGGGGTAGGGCGGGGGAACGGCGAGACACATACGACCTCCACTGGGAGCAGGGGAGGCTGGGCTGGGGGGCTCCTCCACGTGCCAGCAGCCGGGCTCCGGTCCGCAGACACAATGGGCGCCCTACCAGCCTCTGGCCCCTGTCCTGTCTCCGGTGCACGTGTCCCTCGAGAGCACGTGGTCCCAGTGCTGCTAATAGACGGTTCTAAGACTCCCAAACCGTCCGCACGTCGGGTGCGCACAGCCTACGGGAACATTCCGTGGCCTTGAGGAGTCCCAGGTACACAAATCCAGGAGCTTGCCTGAATGGGCCACGCCTGGGACGACCACCGGTTGATTAACACCGTCTGTGGAGTTGGAAGGACTGGTCTGCACCCGCCCCTCAGGTTTGCACGCTCAGCCCTTACCCGCACGCGTCGAACGCCCATGCTGACTGCGGGAGCCAAGAACCAAAAGACTCGAGTAGCAGTGCGCGCGCTTCTGTGCCACGAAACTGGACGAGCGGGAGCCGCGCCGCGGGAGGCGGAGCGCTCCGACACGGGCCGAGAGGGGCGGGACTCGGGTCCCACTTTCCCGCGTTGGAGCGCAGGTCCTGCAAGCTCTGGTAAAGGCGGCCCGAGCCAAGAGTCAGTGGATCCCGAAAAACTTCTTCTCTAAAATTTCTTGAGACGTTTTAATATCTGTGGAAGCCTGTAACATCCATTTAGAGAAGGTGGTGCTTTTTATTTTGCCTAGAAGGAATACTTTTTATGTTGCTGCGAGGTCCTGAGCGAATGGCGCGAAAGTGGTTCGTATTGCCCCAGGCTGTGCAGGCTGATTTGCGTGAATACTTGGGGCTGGTGAAGGGAAAGGGGAAACTGGGGGTTATGGAGACTAGTGGAAAGTGGTGCTGGTTTTGCATTCAGTAATTTAGCATTTTCATTGCTGCTCGAGATTTACTTCATCCCCCTCCCCTCCCTTAAATCAAGGAGCTAGCTCGGAACTCCGCCCT